AGATAGCCAATGCAATTTTGAAGACGAAGAACAAAGTAGGAGGCCTCACACTTCCTGACTTCAAAACATGTTCTACATTGATACTAATCAAAACAGTGCAGTACTGGTTTAGTGGTAAACACATAGACAAATAGAATAGAATTGAAAGTCCATAAATAAATTCCATCATCTGTGGTCAATTGGCTTTTGACAAGGGAGCAAATCCGTTCAATGGGGAAAGAACCATTTCTTCAACAAATGGTGCTGGCACGACTGAATTTCCACATGAAGAAAAATGAAACTTGACCCATATGACACTCCATACACAAAAACTAATTAAAAATGGCTCAACCTAAATGTTGAATCTAAACCATAAAGTTCTTGCAAGAAAATACAGGAGCAAAACTTTGTGACCTATTTTAATGATATAAAACCATGTGTCATTTAACCCCCACAAAACATTCTGTGAAATAGGATGTTATATGATTTGGACATTAGTGAACACCCTATTATATACGGGCAGTTCCCAGATTACGAGAGAGTTCTGTTCTTAATTTTGTTTTTAAGTGCAATTTGTAAATATGTATGAACAGTTAGGTATGGTTTGCTTGTAGTATCAGTCAAATGTTTGTCTTAGTGAACAATATATTGTGTAACTTTCTATGCATAGAAACATTAAAGAAACCCTTCCAGGTATACTGATACAGCCTTAACATAATAATACAGTAACAATAATAATGTAAATAAAAGGAAAAAAAAGATAAAATGATTTAAAATATAGAAAGGAAAAAAAAAAGAAAGAAAACAGGGGTTGGATCCTGTTGGAGGACTGGCAAAAATTTAAGAACACAAAGAGGGAGAAAAAAACAGGTAAAAGGAGAGAAAAATTGGGAAAGAAGGAAGTAGAAATATCAGAGGGAAATAAGGAACCTTAGGAGGGACTTTTATAATTATGGTCAGCCAGCAGCCTTGAGAACACACGGCTATAGCAGAAACCACTGAACCACTAGGGTGTGTGCCTAAGGAGGTGAAAGGGGCCTGGCAGAACTGGTCTTCTCCAGTAGAAAAGGCTACAGGTGTATGCCTCTTGTGCTCAGTGTAAAAAGATCCGCCAGTGACATATGTGGAGAAAGGGATAGCTGCAGCCTCTGGGTCTGTTTGGGGTGGGTTGCTGTGGGTGGCTAGTTTCTCAGCCACTGGCTTGGTAGTGGTAGGGAGAGGTTTCTCTCCTTTTCACAGGGTGGCTATACTTTTTGGATGAGAGAGCGTGACTCACCAGTCATGATTCACTGGCATGGGTCTGGCACCCTTCTGAGCACACGCAGTGTTTATGCAGCTCCTGCCCAGACTCCAGTGAAATGCTGTTCTGATAATCTCTAATCACCCCTAAAACAGGCCTTTCCATTCCCAGAGGTGGGAGGTGCCTGGTGCAAGTGAACTCCCTGAGAGGTAGTTGCAGAGTTGTGTCTCTCGTGTTCAAGCTGAAAAAATTCCCTTAGTCCCTTAGACACCAAGCAGGCAAATTTCAGGCCCTGACTCAGTCTGCTAGAGGTGGAGGTGTCCAGGGGTCGGGGTTCATGAGAGCAACTCTTCTCCATTCACTGAGTCTGTAACAAGAGAAAGAATATTTACCCCTATGTGTACGGAAGGTATGTGTTTGTTAGATCAGTGCATACTCCTCCTTCCTCAACTGTGTGGTGTGTTGCCCTTCAAGGTATACACAGCCATTTATCTAGCTCTTGCCCAGATCCAGTCAAGCAACAGATTGTCCTGATCCCAGGTTCTTCAACTTGCCCAACACAGGCCTTTTGCCAGCCCAAACCTGGGTTCTGCTGGTGGTGAGCTACTTGTTTCCTTTTCACTCCCTCATCTCACCATGGATGCCTTCTCCACTGTAACTGTTACCCCCTTCCCTGCATGTTCCTCTTCCAACTCCCACGTCTGTTGCTCACCTTCAATTCCTCCCAAGCTGTCTACACCGTGGATTCTGTGAAGTTCTTTTCTTCCCCCTCCTTGTCAGTGTCTGATGTCTCTATGAAGGTGTCCCCACATCAGCCAGTCCCATCCTCTCTTCTCTACCCAGTCACTAATCTTGCTCCATTTCCCTTTCCACTAAATGCTCAACCGAATTCTTTATCTTCTCACATGATGCTCGAATTCCAGGATCATTATTTGTATCTGTTTCACTAGTTTTTCTGGGTCTCTGTTGTAGGGGGATTGGGCAAAGTGTGTTAGCAGGATACCCTTTTGTCTCCGCCTATTTTAGTAATATTTGCTATGACACTGTCTGTAATAAAATCTGTCGTTGGAAAGATCAGTACAACTGAAGAAAAGAGCATGTTTGAGAAGACTCACTAACATGAATGGGGATAGTGCCTCAAATGAAAATAATTGAGACAGAAATTTTTCTTTTTAGATTAATCTTGAGTACTGAATAATAATGATACTGAAATATCCTATTAAAGAAGCATTTATTCTTTAGAAGAAAAGATAAACTAAAAGGGTAACTAGGTTTTGCTACATGTAGCACTGCCACCTATTAGCACAGAGCCAAAGCCAGAGGATGAAAGAATATTTTCCTTTAAAATTCACTGTGCACGCGGGACTTTGAATGTAAAACAAGCTCTTAAAATAAAAAATAAAATAAAATTCACTGTGCAATTTTCATGAACGCATTTTTTATGAGGCAAGAAAAATAATCAGACAAATCAGTCAAAGGTGAGGTATGTTTGGAAAATTTAATTGTGACCATATTTTTCTTGCTGAAAACATCAAATATTTTCATACATTTTTGGGTTCCACAGCTCACAAAGGGGAGCGGGTTTCCCACAGTGTTACATACTGTACCCAACTTTCTATCGAAAGATCAGACATTTTGCAACCTTGTTTTCGAATACTTCCTGAAAAACACTTCAAAAGTTCCTTACAATAAATGGCAAGTAAAACAAAGTAAGGCTTTATTTTCCTCTCGTCCCCTTTTTGGTACTCTGTGTTGGAGGAATAAGGAAGACTAGTCACATCTGTGTTGGTACCCTGATGAACACGGCATGTACTGCCTTTTAATTTCACCCCAATCTGGGGACTGTTGCTGGGTCCTCTGAGGTACAACCATGCCACAGAGGCCCTGACCCACTTATGCCTGAAGGCACCCAAGCCACTGAGTGCAGCACAGTGTGGCACAGTCCTGTCACAACACAGCCGGGTGGTGGGCTGCCTGGCTCTTCTCGTTGCTCACAGGGCTGCTGGCCTTTAAGAGGAACAATGTCACTAGGACAAGCCATGACCAGAGGTCTCCTACCCGGTACTAAGGTACCACAGGTTCACTTTTGTAGGCCTTACAAATATGCATTTAAAGACTAAATGTAGTTACTGAAAACTAAATGAGAAAAAAACCCTTTACTAACTCCCATATCAAATTACTATAATGAAAATTTAAAATCATCTCTCTGATAAAACATGTTTTCTAGGTCAGATGAAAACAACTCCCTTGCAAGATGATCTGAGTAATGTGTATATCTATTTATATATTTCTGCCTTGTGCACAAATTTCTTGACCTGTTTCATCTGAATAGCTCTGTCATTTTTCAAACCTGTAGTTTCATTAGCTTAACAAAAGCATAAGGCAGCCAAATGTAACTAATTTTGGTTGCAAAAATCTCAGACATTAACCATTGTCTTCTCAAATGTTAAGAGTACATGATTAAAAGATCATCAAACAGTTTCTTCTCTTAACAGGAAACTAAGCAGCTATTTTCATCAAATGTATCTCTAGCAAACACAGGGCCTCTCTCATAAATATAAAATTAAATTCTTTTGAGGAATAGGTTTGTGATTTTTGTTATGTAGCATTTTACATTTATTCTTTGAATTTTGTAGTAAAAAATGTATGGTCTTTGCTTCTTTATGTTCAAACCCGAGTAATTTCTCCAGCATCTCAGCAGGCTCTCATGTACAGGTGGCAGGCTGGGTTATCGACTTTTTTTCAGAAAGAGGTGGCAGCACGATTCTGTCATGTGCTCTTAGAATCCCTGCAAAAACTCCTGTAGCTGGGTGACAATCTCCGTGTCGACTGTTTCCATGAGCGACTGGAAGCCCTGTTCTCCCAGCAACTCCTGCTGTGCCTTGAGCTTCTCGTAGATGAACTGCTGCAGTGACACCGTGTGCACAGGATCCTTCAGGGCCAGCTGGGGACACAAGGAGAAGCCAAAATGGGTCAAAACAAGCAAACACGTCACTTTCATGGGACACAAAAATTCTTTATAATCTCTTCTGCAGTACAAAGGATTCTAAAATATTCTCATTGTGGAAAACTTTATCAAAGAAAATTTCATGCAATTAGTCTAATCTCAGTTCTCTAAGGTCTTCTGAACCTAAGTGTTACGATTAGCCCAATTTCTCAAGATCTGGGAGTTCATCCATTTAAAGCATCAAATCCTGGTAAAAAGCATCTTAAAAGAAATATAATATGCTGCAGATCACTTAGACACAACTATCCAGGGCTATCATTAGGAAGATCAAGCAGATACTCAGTGATACACTCCGTGATGCCCTTGGGGACTCACAGAGGAAAAACTGTCCTATCTTGCTGGATTGCTATGCTATTTAAATTTATGTCATGTTTCTAATAAAAAAAAAATAATAGTAAGAAGAAAGAAAACCTATTCCTCCTCCCCTATTGGAATATGTAGAACATACATATTACGTATAAGCAATAAAATTTAAAATAACTCATAATTATACCCCATAAAGAAACAATAGCAAATTCTTTTTCTTGTGCATGTTGTATCCACAGACATATATACAAATACTTTTTGTATTTATGTTATCACAAACATTAAAATATGTAAGTAATACATTTAAAGTGTGTGTGTATATATATGTATATATATACATATATATATATGGAGCTCTGGTAGCATAATGCCTAAGGCACTTGACTGCTATAAGCAGAAGGCTGGTGGCTCAAACCCACCAGCCACTCCTTGAAAGGAAGATGGGGCAATCTACTTCTACAGTGATACTGCCTTGGCAACCAAAGGAGGGGTCACTATGAGTCGGGTCCAACTCCAGAGTATATAACAACAACATACATACATATGTGTATATATATTTCCCCCCAGAAAAAAACCCAAACTCACTGCTGTAGAGTCAATTTCAACTCATAGTGACTACTCCTTGGGTTTCCAAGGTGGTATCACTACAGAAGTAGATTGCCCAACCTTCCTTCCCAGGATTGGCTGGTGGGTTTGAACCACCAGGCTTCTGGTTAGCAGTCACATGCCTTAGGCACTACACCACCAGAGCTCCTATCTATCTATCTATCTATGTGTATGTATCTATATATCTATATAGGAGCTCTGGTAGCATAGTGCCTAAGGCATCTGACTGCTAACCAGAAGGCTGGCGGTTCAAACCCACCAGCCACTCCTTGGAGGGAAGATGGGGCAATCTACTTCCATAGTGATACTGCTTCGGAAACCCAAGGAGGGGTCGCTATGAGTCAGGTCCAACTCGACGGCACATAACAACAACAATATATCTATATGTATGTATGTATGTATGTATGTATACACACACACATAATTAAAGGAGCTCTGGTGGAACACTGGTTAAGGCATTCAGTTGCTAACCAAAAGGTCAGTGGTTAGAACCCACCAGCCCATTCTATGGGAGAAAAATAAGGCACTCGGCTTCTGCTAAGATTATAGCCTTGGAAACCCTGTGGAGCAGTTCTGCCATTAGTCAGAATTGACTCAATGGCAGTGGGTTTAGGTTTTGGTTCTATATAATTAAATTATACAAGCGTAATATATGCCAAGTGTTACCAAAATGAAGTTTAAAAAAATTCCAAGTAATGCATTTTTAAGAATTCTAAATTTATTTATGTCACAATTTTGTCCTGATAAAAGCATGATGATGTGATCACAGCATAGTTTAAATAAAGACTTAATTACAATTTTGCTGACTAGTCTATCACAAACACTGTTCCAGATCATTTTCTTAGGCTCTCTCTCTGAAAGCTGCAACTGTTAAAGGGCACAGACAATTTTATTGACTCCTGATATTTGATCAAATCCAGGAAGAAAGCATCCTACAAGGAATATAATATGCTGAAGGTCACTCAGACACGACGTCCAGGGCTATCGCCAGGAAGATCGAGCACATACTCAGTGATGTGACAACTCCATGATGTCCTCTGGACTGATACCACCTTTTTTTCTCCTATGGTCTAAAATTTAAAACGTTATCAGACTTTCTGCCTCGAGACATAGCTGTTATCATTGGTATTATCATGTTCAACATATATTAAAAATTAGTAACTTAAAAAAACAACAGATCATTGCTTTAAGCTGCATTTCTCTCATCATCCATAAAGCTGAACATCTAACAGCATTTTATTTTAAGCATAATGCATGAGTTTTGGGATGCACGGAAATCCTTTTCTCTTTCCTTACTGATGTCAGTTCTGTTCTAGACAGATGAAGTAGTTCAATCACCTCTGCAGTTTGAGCAAGACAGAAAAGTTTAACTAGAGATGGAAAATGTAACTGAAAGGCAGAGACACAGGCATTGTGAATTTTGCTATGGGAGAGACATTAAAAGTAGCTATCAGTATCTTCTTTTCAAGGAATATTATGTGAAATAGATTGAGAAAGTGATTCACTAGAGCAGAATCATTACTAGTGGCCCCACTAGAAGTTCAGATATAACTTCTTTGAATGTAATAGTGCCTATGTTGTTGTTGTTGTTATTAAGAGATACTGAGAAGTCAGTCACTGATAATCTTTTCAAAGAACTTAACTATTACCCTTATGTAAACTATTACCCTGACTTACAATTAACTTAATTATCTAATTAATGTTTTTTAAAAAATATTATCACTGAAGGAAACTGGATAAAGGGGACCCTAATAAGTTCTCTCTGTATTATTTCTTAAAACTACATGTGAATCTACAATTACCTCAACATAAAAAGGTTAACAAAAAAAATTTTAACTTGACTTGTGGACTCACCTGTGGCCATGTCACCTATCTACCCACTGGAATATCAGAGGTGTCTGTTTCTGGAATTTGGAACAGGACAACACAATATAAGCTCACCTCCTACCTTGTCATGCCTCCTGGGGGTATACTCCATCACCAAGTTGGGGAGGTCATATTCCTAGAGTCATATTATACATGCCCCTAATAATTCTGTGTGACTTTGATGTCATTTCCATCTATCTCAAAATTCCACTTAAAAACTGTATCTTATCACACCTCTCCCAATTTCCATTCTATTTCTGACAGGGATATGTTGGAATGTTTTGTCCCTGGTAATCCTTTGTAGAAGTACCTAAGTCCCTTTTCTTTTCTCACTTTTTATATTTGTCTTGTATTCTGAAAGCTTGCTGTAGTTGTTTTTCGAGTTCTAATAGATTTGTGTGTGTGCAAATTCCTTAGGATTGTCTACAAAGAGGATCAGGTCATCTATGAATACAGACAGTTTTACTCCTCCTTTTCCAACCTTCCTTTCAAGGAAGGTTGGGCAACGTATTCCCGTAGAGATGATGTTGTTGTTGTTATGTGCTGTCCAGTTGGACCCGACTCATAGTGACCCTCCTTGGGTTTCCGAGGCAGTATCGCTATGGAAGTAGATTGCCCAACCTTTCTTCCGAGGAGTGGCCGGTAGGTTTGAACCACCAGCCTCCTGGTTAGCAGTCAAGTGCCTTAGGTACTATGCTACCAGAGTTCCCTCCATAGAGATACTGCCTCAGAAACCCAAGGAGAGATCACTATAAGTCATGATCGACATGACGGCAGTGAGTTTTTGTTTGTTTTTTCATCCCCCTAACGTGAATGTTTTTATTTCATTTTCTTGCCTGGCTGCATTGGTTAGAACCTCCAGTACTGCACTGAAAAGAATAAGCAAGAGTAGACCCATTTCCTTGTTCCCAAGTTTAGGAAGAAAGCATTCTATCTTTCACATTAAATATGATGTTTGCTGTAGGTGTTTTCCAGGTGCTAGGATGAGGAAGTTCTCTAGTGTTCCAAGTTATTTTGTTTTTTTAAATTATGAACGGGTACTGAATTTTGTCAAATGCTTTTGATATTTACTTCTGCTTCTATATTAAGATGATTTTTTTTTTTCCCTTTATCGTACTAGTATGTGTTATGTAAATTGATTTGCAAATGCTAAACCCACTTTGTATTCCTGGAGTAAATTCCACTTGGTCATGATGCTTACATTGTTGGGTCTGGTTTGTTAGTATTTTGTTGAAGATTTATATGTGTATATTCATGAGCCATACTGGTCTGCAGTTTTTCTTCCTGGCAATCCCTCTGTCTGGTTTGGGTGACAGGATGATAAACCAGCATCATATAATGAGTTGAGAAGTATTTCATTTCTGGAAGCGACTGTGGAATACTGATATTAATTCTTTAAATGCAAACTAAATGAAATTCACCATCAAAGCCATTTGGGTTTAGGTGTTTCTTTATGAAAAGATTTTTAATTAGTAATTTAATGTCTGTACATATATTCTCTCAAATATAAGATGTGTCTGAATAAAAAAACTTGGCAAACAAAACTGGATGTGTGTTACATCCAGATATGTTGCTAAAGTTTTTCAAGAGTTAATATTTTAGGAGTTCCAGTAATATGGTGGACTACGCATAAAGACTGCACAGACCCTCTTCAACAAAGAAAAGAGAAACCAATTAACACAGACACAGAAGATAATCCTAGACCCCTGAGCCTTTAAGGGAAGGATATAGAAGTGGACTAAACCCCAACTAGCAAAAGAATTTGCATGAAAATACTAAAAAAGGAGACATATGGAGCTGCAGTCTGCAGTGATCCTGACAGCACAGACACCTTAGAGATTCCCGAGTGATGGTAGGACCTAAGAATTAACCTAAAAATCAGTCCTGCTAGCCAGGGAACTCTGGTAGCATAGTGGCTAAGACACCTGCCTGCTAACCAGATGGCTGGTGGTTCAAACCCACCAGCCACTCCTCGGAAGGAAGGTTGGGCAATCCTACTTCCGTAGTGATACTGCCTCGGAAACCCAAGGAGGGGTCGCTATGAGTCAGGGCCGACTCAATGGCACATAACAACAACAACAGCCAGGGACTGCACGGAGGACTGTGCACGGTGGCTGGGGAATAAACGGAGAAGGTGAAGAGAAAGGTGGGCCGAGCTG